CAAAACAGGTCCAGAAACTAAGGTGGCGTAGTGTTTATTGGAGGTATTGAAATATTGCGCGGATGTAGCGCCACATTGGCGTCACTGCAGCGCTGCCGTTCGCGAACTATAACTTGGTTAATGCAGTTTTAGAATAATGAAATTGTTTAATGATATTTCTATATATATATATATATAGGATAAGGGTAAGTTGAACACGTTAACTAATTTTAACTGTTTTAAAATAGAATTTATTGCTGTATCTTTTGCTATTTAGAAAGAATATTTCACCATTTGTTTCTTAGACGGCAGAACGTGCATTGAAGGCACCCTAAATAACTTTTCAGTGCCATCGCAGATCTGAGCTAGTTGCTCTGGTTCTCGAGATAACGGAATTGTGCCGCTATAATAAGCTTATTCCAGGGTGGACTGTAAAACACCTTACAACTTTTTGGACGGCCGACCGACTAAATATTGTATTCTGTGATAAAAATCGACTACACGGCGGCTTTTTGATTAACTAGCCAAATTTCATATACTCGAGCATAGCGCGGTGGAATAAGAGACTGGCGTCCACGTTTATTCTGGTGCGACCAGTTTTCAATCTAAACAACCGGAGGTCCTGCATTCAGATGCACTTCTATCCATGGATTGCACAGAGAAAAAGTCGTGGATTAAGTCACATCTAGTAGCTAAATTTCGGATTTAATCGCATCTATAAATATACAACATCGCATACGATAACGTAAGTTGCTAAAGCACTTGTGATATGGAAACTGGAAACGACGGTATACCCAGACCCGAGACAACATAGAAAAGTTAGTATTCTACATTGACCCGGACGGGGATCGACCCGGGAGAGATGGTGACACCATGATAACTGGTGTGCGCGCCACTGGACAACTGAGGTCATCAATACGGTTTATTCCAATAGTTCTATTGAGTATGTTAAGGAATAGTGAAAATCGGGCTCAAAATAAATAAATAAAATTTTAATTTGTAGAGAAAACTAGATATAGCCGAAAGACAGAGAGAATAGCGCACCATAAACGAAAAATACATAAACAGAGAGTAGGCACTTTATAAGGAGCGTGGAGGTTCATGGTCTCTGCCTACCTAGTACTTGAGAGACAAGTACTTTTGAAATAAAAGTGAAGTAAATTATATTTTTTATTTTTTAAATCATACTTAATACAAAAATATAAAATAAATTGTTACATTTAATTGTCAGTAAGAACAGTGTCTGCTAAAAAGAAATATTTTCTACTCCAATCACCACTTTTCATTTGCTTTAATATTCATAATATTATAACAAAGTAGTAAAACATCACTTAGGTGTCGCTAATAGGACCAATTAGCCAATGGGACCAATCACACAATCATTTGGAGCAATCACATAATCAATAGATGCAAACATGTAATCAATTCAACCAATCATGCAGCCAATATATTTTACATAAACATTTCATTTCTATCATTATTGTAATTAAAAACAAAACAAACTTTCTAGTTGCTATATTTATCTAGATTTTCTCTCAAACAATTTATACAAGGCTTTTTAAACGGTGTACAATGATTTTCAACAATCCTTTTAATTTTATCATAATCCTTAATAAGACCAATTTTATTCTGAAATTGTAAAAATGTAAGTAATAATCGACCAAATGTTTTTTCTGTTGTGCAATTGGGTCCAAACTGAATTATATTTTTGTAAATAAATCCTTGAATTTTTGAATCGTTTTTAACTTCCTTATAAGCTGTGTATATTAATAACAAATTATGTAAAAACTCTTCTAAACTAAAATCTATTTCTATAATTTTAAAAAACAATATTTTCTTATCTTCTACATTTAATGTTTGAAAAAAGTCCTCTAGCAACTTATTAGGTACGTTAACATTTTTTATTAATAAAATTATTAATTCGTCAAATTGTTTTGGGTTCTTAATGCGTGATTTTAATAGTAGATCTAAGGAAAACCATGTGTAATCTCTTGTTAAATACATGGGTAAGAACCATTCATAGAAGCTTTGTAAAAACTCATCATTTACATAGTTAACAGCAAAAATATGGCTGCAAATCTTTTCAATTGCATTTATGGATAACTTTTCGGATATATCTAATAACAATTTTTGATTATTTAAACATTCTATCACCATACTATTGAAGTTTGAAATAGGATCAGATTCCAATAGCTCGAAAAATTCATCATCCAATTTACCGCCCAAATTCTCAACTTCCGTTTCCATTTTCAGGTTCAATGTAGATATATCATCTCCTTGAAGATTTTGAGTATTGTTTTCATCAAGTATTGCATCTGTTTCTTCTATATTCTGCCTTTCGAGACTGAATTTTTTAACCCACTTTTTATTCGCGTCTATAGGTGCAGCTTTTTCTATACAGCGTTGTAACAATGCCTCAGATGTTGAACACAATTTGTAGTTACTCGACATCTTGTATTATAACGTATACGTAATTTTTTTCAATTTAGTAGTTTAATTTTTAATTCGTCGAATAAATTAAGTAACAGCTAAGTAAACAAACAAAATTTGACATTTCATGAATAATGATGTGTCTAAAATATAATCGATCGACTATGCAAAAGTTTGATTACAGTCAAGTGTGGCCGTGCCAGTCAATATGTTCACAATAAATGCAATTTTACTACGCAAATAGACTTGCAATTTTGACTGTGTGAACATAAAATTCTGAACCAAGGAAATCACATTTTACGATCAATATTTTAAGCTATGTCGTTTTGCGATAAAGGGAACGTAATGACTAATACGCCAAAAACTGCATGACTGTGCTATGTTCACATAAAATCAATCACTGCGAACATGTTGGCTGATTATCCCAACACGAATACAGGGCCAGTGCTATTAATATCATTTAAAAAAATCATTTACTGGTTATCGGATGTGGATAAACAGTCAAGAGCACATCAAGCTTGACATTTTGTACTTTGAACCGTTCTTATCGTAAGCGGCATAAAGTTGGATTTAAGTCTTAAGTGTCAAGCTTGACTTGATGTTCAGACATCAGTGTTCTATAATAGATTCACATTTCATGTGATTGGATGAACATTAATAATAATAATAATCTTTATTTTTCTCTACAAAGGTTACAAAGTTTTATAATGTAATTTACATGAAAATGCTTAAGTATTAGAGTACCTTTGTAAGAGACTGGAATCTATACTAGGAGCTAACCTGTGTGACAGATCAGAGGCTCTCACCCAGCCTGATAAAATGGTGTTTGAAAAAGCAGTTGCAATGTAAATAAATTACAAACATCTAGTTTTTAGCTTAGTGGAGTAAGTGCAACTAATAAAATGAAAGCATAAGCAAATATGACACATAAAACAGAGAGATGCAGGTATGTGCATGTAATAGCATACTCTCAGGGTGTGTGTGTGTGTGTGTGTGTGTGTGTGTGTGTGTGTGTGTGTGTG